TCATACAACACATGAGTATGATGTTTTAGAGCCTTCCAGATAAGATGCTTGACAAAAAGAGTAACAATTTCAGACTGCATAACCTTGGTGGGTATTTTGTTTGAAACTATTTATCATGAAATTACTCCCAGCATGGCACTACTGTCCGTAAAAAAATCTGCAACATTTGTGTGCACCCACAGTTCAGTGCAATTCCTATAATGAGTGCTTTATTCATTTATCCCAGTGTCTATGAAGCTCACATTATAATTCAATTTTAAACAAACTGCATACTGTGAACATTTGTAAGAGATAAAGCCATTAAATTCAAAATTTATACAACAGCTCTAATTTATTCACTGTATTATGATTCCTCCATTTTAAGAAATACAGATTTGGCTATATATATCTTGTTTTCTGTAATTATTTTTAACACATTAAGTACTTTGTTTTTCCATCCACACCATATAGAAAGGAACTTACAAGTATAAATCTAAGAACACTCATTGGCAATTGATTCAAATACAGATAGAATACAAACATAGTCTCTGCAATCAGGCTTTTAACCAGATTTTAATACATCTTCAAAATCAGAAAAACAGACAAGTAGAAACATGTATATTTTGTAGTAAGTTTTTAAAAACTGATGTATCTAATATGCTGCATAAACTAAGGATTAGTACACTTAAGGACCAGTCAAAGCAAAAATGCTGGACTGAAAAGATAAGGTATTTTTCCAAGTATACTGCCCATTTATGCATACAGCTAAAAGTCTATTCAAATTGAACTTATTTTTACATGTGTAGTCCCTAGGCTTTTTTAAGGTTTTAATACCTTTCTGGTCCCTAAGCTTATTCTCTTACCCAGAGAGAGCTCCAATATTGTCCCTAACATGTAGTTTTTACATTAGAGGGGCATGGATTAGAATAGCTATTGTGCTGGGCTCAGTGATAATGATTTGTAAGGATCATGTTTATCTATACTGATGCAAAATGCACAGCCTGAACTTCGGAAATAAAAAAAAAAACAAACCCCACTAAACTCAGAATTTAGGTCTGAAGTAGTGCAGAAGAGCAACTGAGCATATGATGAGCAGGTGCCAATTAAAACATACACTTTCTATACCTTAAACACTGCACTGTCTTCCATACAATGCCACAGAGCAATACGAAAAACAGGCAAATACTTATTTAGGAATTTCTTTTATGTCAAGATTTGAATGCATTTTTTGAATCCATAGTGTCATCAAATGGGTCAGTTTATAATCTCTCTCTGGTTTAAATAAAGCAGAAAATTAATCATTAAATTACCACTTTCCCTCATCTCAAGTAATTGTCTCATACAGAAAGAAAAAACAAACCAGGGGTAGGTATCTTTATTTTTTTATTTCCCCAAACTCCCAATATTCTTCTATGACCTTTCATTTTCCATCGCAAAATTAAAAGCACAATAGAGTAAAAGCACAAGAACACAATACCTAACCAAACAGAAGATATGCTTAGTGATGGATCAAAATAATACAGTGGATAACAGCCAAAAGACAATGTTAAAATTCTAATTGTTCTGACCACATGTCATGAATATATAAAGAATGTACTAGATAAGGGCTTTTTTTTTCCATGGGAATATTTATCATGGGAAATGTTTATCAAATGAAATAAACTATTTCTTGACTGATGAACAAGAAAAGTAATTTTTTTCTAATCTTGTTTTAAGTCATGAGGAGTGTCTTGAAGGATTCCCTGAAGATAATACTGCTCAAAGGTTGCAACAAATATTATCAACAGAAAACATTCCATTATGTCCTCCAGCTGAGATTTCTACTTCTTATCAATATAGTTTACTTACTCCCTTATCTCTCTGTAAACTCAGAGTGATGATGCCTAAATCAAGTTTCCAGCACCTGTCTCCTTCCACTTTTAGACACATAAGAGGCTTGAACTTATTTATTTTATTATTTTAGTCCATGACAGTCATGGCTATCAGGCAGTGACTGTGACAGATAGTACATAGTACAGACAAACTGTACTATGACACAGTTCCAGCTACACTATCCTTCTAGTTCCTATGTAAACTCAGCAGCAAGAAATACAGAAGACAAGGAATAAAAAAGCAGAAAGGACATAGAGAAAGAAAATCCTCTCCTCTTCATTTAAAGTGAGATGTGCAGATTAATCCTTTTCATTTTCAGTTTGCAGCCTGCATGGTGAGCTAAGACCTGACAGTCTTGATTGACTGGTGCTATTTGGTTTCCTGACTGCAGGAAGTTATACACAGGGCACAAGAAACAATCAGTCAAAATTTTCTCTGCAAACAGAGTTTAGCAGGAAAAAAAAAAACACAAATAAACAAACAAACAAGATTTAAAGCCAGAGTGGTCCTAAGCAATTATACATTTTTTTAAAAAAGTTAAATAAAGAAAAATTACAGAAGTATCAGCTACTTAAAGAAATAGACTAGAGAAATTAAAAACAATAAAGGGTTGAATTCATTAACTGCTTGATGCCAGAAGATCCAGAGGACACGTTCAATAAGGATCTCAATAAAAGGAGTTATTTATAGGCAATTAAGTCATTAAGGTAGTAGCAAATAAGAGGCAGAAAATATTTCAGCATGGGCTGTACAAATCTCTTGGAGACAGCGAGATACCTGAAGCTGTAAACTCACATTCTCATAATGGCAATGTCTATCCACACCAGCTACACAGCCACAGCAGTCAGCAATTCAGTCAGCTCCAGTCCCATTGCCTGCCATCTGCTCGCAGTGTATCACAAGCAGGAGCACATTTCCACTGCCACGTGTGTGGGTGCAGTCCCACAGCACTCGAGCCAACACAAGGTACGGCTGCCACAGCCCCCAGCTATCTTGGCTGCACTGTCCTTGGCCATTCCATCAGCACTGGCACTCCAGTGAGCACATCAGTCCAAGGAGCTGCTGTAGATGACAGCAGAAGCAACTGATTTTCCATGAGATTGGCTGCCTGAGCTGGCTTGCTGCACTGTAACATCAACAGCAGCACCGGCTCAAAATGATGTGGCAGGCATTAGGAGGGTGGGTTGTGACAGATCTACACTGGCAAAAATTGCCATGAAACCCAATGTGCAGCAGGTAGCCTCAAATCAGATTGCATCTACGCCCATGTTGCTTGCCCAGACCACAGCCACAAATATCCATAAACCAGCACTGCCTTCAGGGTTAGGAATTTTCCCCATTAGTTTCCTCTCAATGCTGACCCCATTTTAGTGCTGCCACAAACATCAGTATGGTCAGACATGTGATCCTTACAGAAATAAAAGATGGGTGCTGCTAATATGGGTAAGTTCCCTATCCTGTTTCACTGAGCAACTGCACAGAGGCACAAAGCAGCAGGACAGACCTTCCCCATTTGGCAGTAAGACTGAATCGAGCCACTTTAAAATTTATGTTTAACTACATATGATATTCACTTACAAATCCTGAAGGAATTATCATAATAACCTGCCTAGATAGAAGTTAATGACTCAGTAGTCAGAAAAAATGTGTTTTTCAAAAAGAAAAATTCATGTCTTGATGAGGTCATATCCTATAAGAACTTGTTCCACTGATTGTCTAGCCTTCCAGATAAAAAAAAAATGCTGGCTATTTGCCACTTCCAAGCACTGGACCTTGCATTCATTATATAGGCTGAACCAAAAGTTCTGCCCTTCAAATCTGAGCAAGTCACTCTCTAATCTTCCCTTTATCCTCTCAATTCTCTCACTATTGGTCTAATTTTCTAAATTTATCATCAGTTTCATCACTTTTCCTTAAACATCTTCAGTTTAACAAAATCATTTCTCAACTGGGGAAGCCAGAAGAAAGCATTCTTGTGGTAGTCCTTGTTCCAAGTAAAATGTCCTCTTTATGGGAACATTTTACATTTACCATTACACTGTGTTAAAATAGCTGAATAGTCTTCATGATGCTTAATTATTTTTCAGAATAACTGCTTCAGGAGAAGTCTGTATTAAAAGTCACTTAATGTGGCTTTGCTTGTTCATTCCTCAACACAACTGCTTTACATTTGATTTACTGAAACAATAGTGGCTCTCTCTTGATCTTAATAGAATGAGACAGACTAAGGAAATGGCCTATTGCTCATGTGCTTTGAGGTGTTCCAGCAACCATCCATCCTGCAGTGCTACCAGCATAAGGATATGGGGGCTGGCCATCTAGACCAGCAGCAACACACCCAGAGACAGATGTTTCAAAGAACAGTGCAACTGGCAGAAACAAAGAAATCTTTTCTACTGAAGATTTCTAGCTATCTCTAGAACATAGAGACAGCCTTGAGCCTTCAGATGCAACATTCTCTACACATAAGTTAAGACAATAACAGATATTTTTGTATCTCTATATATTTACATCTAAGTTCTCAGTCTCAGAATTTACTCCAGGGCCATTTCTTCCCTTTCAGTTAGCCCATGTATGGTACGTTCCTCAGTAAAGTCATAGTTTGTGTATGGAAACATTTACTCTCATGTTTTTCCCTGTTTCCCGCCTTTCCATTTTACTGATTCGATCTTGTACTAAAACAGAGACAAGTCCTACCGCTCCATTTTCACATGGGAGCTCTTCAGCACAGCTCTGCTAATACTTACAAGAGCCTCTGCTTCCACTTAAGTGTCTTTTGACAAGGCATGAAGAGTTTGCCGCCCCAAGGAAGAATTCCTTTTCTTCAAATTGCTGAGAAAGTTACATAATAAGACCTAAAAACTAGTCTGAAGGTGCGAAGAAGTCCATTTGTAACATAGAAAAACTGACCTCCCAAGAATTTAAAACATGTCAGCTTTCACTGTTTTTATCCTTTTTGACAGAAATCATTGAGAGTTGTGCTATGGCATTAGTTTCCATGACAGTGAAAACTTTGATGTACTGAGTTACACAGCTCTAAACAGTAAAAGCAATTAAAAGCAAAGTTTACTAAATTGCCACAAGTAGAAAGCTTGTAAAAAGTCAGAAAGCCATCATCAGGAAGTCAGCAGATGCATCTTTTAACTTACCAAACAAGCGCTGATGGAAGAGAAATTTCCCAGCTATCAGTCCTGTGAGAATGGCAAGGAGCCACAGAAACACCTTCAAAAATCTCCAGCCTCCTCCTTCAGGGTATTTATTTGTTACAAAGGAGAAACAATTACCAACAACAATAACATTGGCTTCTGTCTGGCTGTGAGATACTGGGTCCTCAGCAAATATTAAGAAGTTAAAGAAGATCACTAAGTAAGCCACAACTAAGCGAGACCACGGATGCTGGAAGTAGTAGCGGAAGTCTTTATCCATCCTCAGACAGTGCAGAACTGGGTTTTGCCTGTATGTAAAGATACAAATGCATAACGTTATATATACCCCTAATTCTCAGAGTTTAGGAGAGACTCACAAATTACAAAAATCAAACCATTGTAATCTTGTCATCAGTAACTTTTAACACTTTAGACTTGACTAGAAATGAAAGTTTCAATCAAAAGATATTGTTAGATCCAGGCAGAGGAAAAACTGAAATTTCTCCCTATTCCAATGTAAAAATAAGAACCAAACATATATACATTGTAGCACAACATTTTCAGTCTCAAATAAATATACTTCTTGTGCCTCCTCCATAATGGGACATGAAAAGAATGAATATAAGAACATGGCAGGCTACTTAAAACACAGACTGCCTTTCCAGCTACACGAAAAAATACAACACAGATTTCATAAAGGTTTTATGCTAAGCCTAAATTGAATCTTTTTCCATGTAGGAGAAGGACGGAACCAGCCCAGAAGTCCAGAGGTCTTCTACTGGAAGCTTAAAAGCATATGACCCAGAAACATCAGAAACGTGTGCTCATATGAAAGAATAACATCTTGGAAAAGTTTCTAGAATTAATTCTTGCAAGTCAGGCAAGCCTGTATAAATCTTTTCACTGACTTCAGGGAGTACATCTATATTTTCAAAACCATAAAATAAGATAGCCTGAAACAAACTGTTCTGTATGAATACAAAACCTGTATTTTAAAACCTGCCTACTTATTAAGTACTGCTATAGAAAAATGCAACTGAACATGGAGCATTTTAGTTGTTTGCCATTTAATTTCTTTTCTTTTATTCACAACCAATTAGTTGTTTCATCCTCTTCAACCACTTTGTATGCACAAAGATACAAGGCCTTTGTGTTGTAGAACACCAAAATTATTCAAGAGACAGTGTGTAGGAAGATAAAAAAATTTGTCTAGTAATAGTGCTTGTTTATTATAGCATTATCCTTGAAGGATACAGTGGCAAATTTTTGCAAATGTCATACGCCCTGCAGCAAAAAAACAAAACAAACAAAAACCAGCCCACAAAAGACCTAAACCCCCTATCAATTACTCATCCCTTCCTGGACTTCTAACTTAGGATTTGCAAACTTAGAAATGGCATGAATTTCAGCGTCTCCTCTTAGTTAGTCTCAAAATTATTTCACTCCATAACCCAATTTATACTAGTAAAATTGCAAGGAATCCTGTACCTAATAAATGAAAAGGATAAGAGAACCTCTCAACAGATTCAGACAATGCATTCAGTAAATAAAAGAAAGGAATAATGTCCCATTATGCATAAATTACATATGAAAAAGAAAAATTACCACATTACAGAGTTTAAAAGCTGGCACCAGGAAGTGTCGGTCCTTCAAAAACTTTATGAAAAAAAGTGATTTAAAGTAAGGATCGTTGCCTAAGAAAATATCACTATGGGGAGATTAAACTGCCTTTAGAGCCATAAGGACGCCCAAAGCTACTTCTCGTTCTGCTTTCGTTCTGTTACCATAAGAAAAGTTTTGGTATTTCCTTACGTGTATGAACCATCTTATGGTTCATACACGAATGGAGAAAAACAACTACACGTCCTGATATTTTTAACAGCTGTCAGATACCCGAGAGTAATCAAACACCCAGCTGAAGACGCGGCTTCTTAGGAAGCGTTTCATAGCATCGGAAGCCAGTATTAGCGACAGCAGCAGTGACAAACTGCTAACAAAAATCCTGCTCCTACCTACCTCAACGCCGAAAACGCGGGCGCCGAGAGCGCCGCGGACCACACGCCCGTCGCAACCTGTTAAATCGACCCATTTCCCCTGGCCCGTGGCAGACCCGGGCACCCGCGGCCGCCTCCCCGGCGCGGCGCTGCGGCCGCCGCCGCCCCGCCGGGCACCGGGCCACGGGCCCCCGCAGCGGCGCGCCCCGGGCCCCGGCGCCCGCTGCACTCACCGCGACGGGGATCCGGCGCCGCGGGCGCGGTGCTGCTGCTGCTGCTGCTGCTGCTGCTGCTGCTGCTGCTGCTGCTGCTGCTGCTGCGGCTCGGCGCCCGCCCCGGTGCGGCTCTCGGCGGCGGGCGGCCCCGCTCCGCTGCCCGCGGCCGGCAGGGCCCCCAGCCCCTCGGGCGCTGACAGCGGCGCTGGCTGCCTCGGCGTCCCGCCCCTCGGCCGCCGCGGCGAGGCAGCGGCTGCGGCGGCAGCGGCAGCGGCGGCGGCTGCGCTCCTCCTCTCCGCTCCGCTCCGCTCCCGGGCGCGGGCGAGCGGCGCCGGCAGTGCCGCAGCCGCGGCGGCAGCGGGCGGCGCCGCTGCGGCAGGGTCCCGGCGCCCCCGGCGCCCGTGCCCGGCCGTGCCCGCCCCTCCCCCGGAGTCTGCCAGCGAGGACCCGAAACGTGCGCGGTGTGCCGCGGGTGTCTTTATTCACCCCGGGAAAGGGTGGCCGGGAGCCACGGGGCTTGTCCAGCCGGCGAGGTGAACGAAACCCGAACAGCACCCAATTCCCATCTGTCAGATTCCAGGATTATGCAAATTTACAAACACGGGAGACAGGCGGGCAAAACTGGATATTTATTATCCGAAAGCAAAAGCACAGGGCTGGCAATAACAGCCAGATCACACAGGATGAGCTATGAAAACCCTTCTATTTGGGAGGGGAAGGAGGTCTACACCCAATTTACTTACTTGGGAAGGGGCTATGCTGAGGCTCCAGGGTGCACACCCGGTCTGTATGGTCACTGTGTCGGGCAAAATGCCCCTGTGCAGCCTGCCAGAGTTGTTGACGTTGCACTTCAGCCGAATTGTCAACCAAAGCCTTTTAATGTGGGATGTGGTCCCTAGTGCCAATGCGCTGGTATTGCTGACATCCCAGGAAAACGTTTACAGGATGCTCTTAGCATTGCATTATGACTGGGTTTTAATGCAGTGTATACTAGTTCTGGTCATTGCTGAAGACAGATAAAACAAAGTTGAAGTTGCTAGACACAATATATTGTTGGGAAAAGTCAGGTAACTCCAGTGGAGTGGGTATCTGAAATTTGGTGTCAAACATCTGGCTGCTTCAGGCCAAAGTAGACAGGAATGTGGCTGAGATCGATCAAGGAATGTGGAAGGGTATTTAGAAGAGTCACGTTGCAAAAGACCAGCACAACCAGAACAAGCAGCAGAAGACTTGTGCACCCCTTCTGTACTTCTGACAATACAGTACCATGTATTTTTGTAAATAAATGTAACTACTATTGAAGATGTCTAACATAATCACCACATTATCTTCCTCAGTGGAATAATCTGAGACCCTCATTTTATGTAGAAAGATGCAATATTCAGTATTTCACACTAGCACACCCCAAACTATCTTTACAATAAAAAGAAAATTCAAAAAGAAAAATCATCATGCGCAATGTGAGAATACAGAAATACAGTGAAAAGCATGGCCTGTTCATGCAACAGTTCTGTGTGTACTGCCACGCTTGCAGAACTCTGTCTCCTTATGTTCAGCTAATGAGAATCCACAGAGGGAGGCAGCATGCACTACAAAGAGATCACACTCTTCATGCACCTACACACCAAAAAATATTCTCCTTCAGCTCAGATTGAAACCCACGCTACTACAAAGAATTAATGAGTATTTTTTTCAGATAGTAAATCATTGAGCAAATTTTTGAAGTCTCTAAGTTAATAAAATGAAAATAATCTACTTTTCTATTAAAGTAACCAAAAGCATAAGTGCTCCATGTATCTCCACCAGATTTCATGTTGCATTTGCTGTTTTAAGAGGAAGCTGACATAATTTTTAAAAGTGTAGTGTTTCACTGATATATAACAAAAGATGGACTGGTCCTATTTCTTCTTTTTAACCAAGCAATCAAGATTTCCTTGATGAAATACATACCTGAATAGCAACAATTAACAAATAATCTCAGTAGACAAGACTAATCAGGCCTGCTGACTGAAAGCCAGGGACTGCCTGCAACTAAAGAATATAAACAAACTGTTACCTACAAAACTGTCAGCAAATGAAAAAGCCAAAAGTAAAACCAGTAAGTTGAACCTAAAAGGCAGGCTGAATCAGGACAATGAGTCATCTTGAAACGTTAGTTTTCGTACTTGTGAATGAAACTGATCTATCAGCACTGCTGCTATAAAATAGCACTTGTGTAAAGGCTGTCATTTTACACCCAATTTCCAGCAGAGCTGTAAGTATTGAACTAACCATAGATTGATACTACTAATTGATACTACAGTATCAGTTTTTGTCTGAATGTCATTCTACACTCAGATAAGAGTAATTAGCCTTCAGCACAATAGTCTGTAACAGGACTGTTCTCTTTTTGTAATAAATTATATGAAACTTGTATTTCAGTTTGTGCCCATTGCCTCTTGTCCCTCACTGGAGATCATAAGGAGTCTGTCTTCATCTTTACTCCTCCTATCAGGCTCTTAGACACATCAATAAGATCCTCTACCTTGAGCCTCCTCAAGATTAAACAGTCACAGTTTTCTTATCCTGTCCTCCTTCTTTCATCTGTGGATGCACAAATGCCTCTTCCCTGGCATGCTTCTCATTAAACATACTTAATTCCCTCAAATCTCAAAACTCCACTACTCAGAGATTGTGCTCTTAATCTATTTTTCTTCCATTCTGCTCTTGTGGGTTGATCACATCCAGCAGGTAAGCACCCACACAGCTGCTAGCTCACTTCCCCCTGCCTCCTTCCTAGTGGGACAGAGGAGACAATAGGAGAAAAAGAAAGAAAACCAGTAGGTCAACATAAAGATGGTTTAATAAGTAAAGAAAAAAAAAAGAGATGAGAATTATAAAATGCAATAAGTAAGGATTTTTAAAAAGTCTGCTAAGGCAACCATTCAACAAAGCCCACAAGCAGACCATCAGTCTCTGATAAACAGCTTTGAATACACTCTGTGTCTCACACTTTTCTTCTACTCTGTTTTATTAGTGAGCATGATGTTACAGATTATACAGGGTCAGCTGTCTCAGCTCTATTGTCTCCCAAATTCATGCCTACTTGCTGGTATGGGAACATGGTCACAATGGGAAAGCAAGACAGCCCTGATCTTGTGAAAACATTTCTGACCAATAGCCCAAACACTGGTGTGTTTTCAACACTGTTTTAGTCACAAACAGAAAACACAGCACAATTTCACTGCTATGAAGATAGTCAATTTAATTCTGAGCCAGAACCAGTACACCTGTAAAAACATCCTTGGAACAAAAGACTCCCTGCTTTGGAATTTCACACTCATGATTATGACAACCTGTCTCAGCTATACCACTTCAAATTTACTCATTAGCTCATCCCCAACTCATTTCTTACTCTCTTCTAAAAGAAGAAAAAGCAGCACAATAAAACATGAAACAAATGGGGGAGAAAAAAACCACACAAAGCTAGCAACAGTTACTGTATAACTGAAGAACTAAATAGTTGAAGAACTTAGAAGAAAGAAAAGGCAAATAGATACATCCTGTGGAAATTAAGAATGTTAAGTTAATCAGAAACAATGGTATTTTAAACACTAATATTGCTTTACAACTAGAAAAAATAGAATTGTGTAAAAGAATGTGGAACAGCAGAAATGTTTCTGCTGTATATTTGGAAAATATAAACAGTAATAATGTTTTCACATTATGTAACATGAAATACTTCCCATTAAATCAATAATATGAAAGGATAGTAAACTGCATGAACTAAAATTAAACATTTATCTTTAAATGGTTGAAGATTCATTAGAAAAATAAATTAAAGACATGATAGGCAACAATGTTAATAATTAAGTTTGCTTCCTAACTGCTGAAGTGCTGAGGAAAATTCACAGAACTAGAAGAAAGTTAATGTTGTAATGAGTGAAAGGGAGAAAAACAACCACATATGCATGCACATGTGTGCACACATGTTAAGGCAAAAGAAAAAGTGAAAAAAGCAGTTGGATATAGATTTTAAGAAATATAAGTGATGCTCCAGCTAAAAATGTTAGTGGAATCTTGGGATATGGGTGATTGATACGTACTTTTTCATCCTTGTCCACTCAATTTTAGATTAATAAGAGGAAGTTATGGATGGCTTCATCACCGTTGATAGGTTAAATCACAAAAATAAAATTTTGAGCAGAATTTAATATATATATTTATTATATATATTTAATATATAGATACCTTTACAATACCAGTGGAACTTGGAACAAAAGAGCAGTAGAAGAACCAGAACTTTACATACCTTTTATTTATGATCAAGCTGAACCTCAGTCCCAGAGTCAAATGATATAGGGCTTACCAGAATTGAAGCAGAGGCTGTACTCACAATTTTGAAGATGATAGTCCAATGACAAACCTTACACTCGAATTAAGTACTTACTTCTGTTCATTCAGACCAAGTTTACTCCAAGTAAGCATGCTTCTATTTCAGACAATCCATCTGGTTTCAGACAGACAATATACACCTTGCCTTGATGAAGCCACTAAAGGAGAACTGAATGAATTTACCCCATTCATTAAATACCTTTTAAGTACATCTGCTGACCATATGGATGCTTTCAGCAAGTACAACAACAACATGTGACTTCTGCACTAGAAAAAAAAAAAAAAAAGAATAATCAGCTTGCAGCTACTCTGATAGCTCCATGTACAGACTTAGAGAAAACACAAATCTAGAGAAAGTGGAATCTGAGCTCAGCCTTACACAGATTCTGTTTAACCACACTGTCTAAGTTGATTGCAATGGTAAAAGAATACTTCAGAAAAATAGAACTAAGCTGGAAGACACAAGGTCAGAAAAATAGTAAGTGGCAACATAAGGTGTCATAGAAAAACATGCTCTAATGTTGCTGAACCCTTGATGCATGGACCATCTGGTGGATAAGGACTTTGCTGGATGGTAGCGCTCAAAGAGCTGTGGACAGTGGCTCCATGTCCAAGCAGAGACCAGTGATGAGGGACTCCTCAGGGATCAGCAGTGGGACAGGGGACATTTAACTTCTTTGTTGGTGACATAGGATTGAATGCACCTCAGCAAATTTGCCAAGGACACCAATCTGTGTGCTGTGGTTGGCACACTGGAGGAAAGGGACCTTATCTGGCTGAATGATACTTCAAACAATTAAATTATTTTATTTTCAAATCTCTGCGTACCTGAAATTGCTATATGCTATCTATTACAATAAAAGGACTCTGATTGTGCA